TGGCTCAATAACAGTTCATGTGAGAAAGGTCTTCGAGTCTTTGTGGACAACAAGTTGAACATGAGCCAACACTGCGATGCAGGAGCTTAAAAAGCCAATGGGATTTTGGGTTGCATCAAAAGGAGTACTGTGTCTAGATCAGTGGTTTCCAACCTTTGGTCCTCCAGGTGTTTTGGACTTCAACTCCCAGAAATCCTAGCCAGCTTACTAGCTGTTAGGAACTGTGGGAGCTCAAGTCCAAAACACCTGGAGGACCAAAGGTTGGGAACCACTGGTCTAGATCAAGGGAAGTCATGGTGCCTTTGTATTCCGCTTTGGTCAGACCTCACCTGGAATAGTTTGTCCAGTTCTGGGCATCACAGTTTAAAAGAGATATTGACAAGCTGGAAAGTGTCCAGAGGAAGGTGACTAAAATGATCAAAGGTCTGGAGACCATGAATTCCTATGAGGAGCGTCTTAAAGAGCAGGGTATTTTTAGCCTGCAGAAGAGAAGGTTGAGAGGAGATATGATAGCCATGTATAAATATGTGAAAGGGCATCATAAGGAAGAAGCAACAAGTTTGGAGACTAGAATTGGGAGCAATGGGTTCATATCACAGGAAAGGAGATTCCACCTGAACTTTAGGAAGAACTTCCTGACCATAAGAGCTGTTCAGCAGTGGAACTCTCTGCCTTGGGAGTGTGGTGAAAGCTCCTACCTTGGTAGCTTTTAAACCGAGGCTGGATGGCCATCTGTCCAGGGTGTTTTGATTGTGCTTTTCTTGCATGGCAGGGGGTTGGACTAGATGGCCTATGTGGTCTCTTCCAACTCTATGATTCTAAGAATCTATGATTTTATGAAAAGACAATAATAATGCTTGGTATGGTAAAAGGAAGTTGGAAATAAAGGAAGACTGCATTACAGTTGGATAGATTTAATCAAAGAAATCATGGCTCTGAGCAGGCCCATATGGTCTCTTCCAACTCTATTACTCTATGATTCATAGAGTAATAGAATCATAGAATCATAGAGTTGGAAGAGACCTCGTGGGCCATCCAGTCCAACCCCCTGCCAAGAAGCAGGAAAAGCACCGCTGACAGATGGCCATCCAGCCTCTGTTTAAAAGGCTCCAAAGAAGGAGCCTCCACCGCAGTCCAGGGTAGAGAGTTCCACTGCTGAATAGCTCTCACAGGCAGGAAGTTCTTCCTAATGTTCAGGTGGAATTTATTTATTTATTTCCTGTACTTGTACCCCGCCCTTTTCACCCCAAAGGGGACTCAGTGCAGCCTCACAACTGGCAGCAATTTGATGCCCAACAAACAAATTCCAAAAATAACAATTACAATTAAAATGGCAATAAAACAAATGATCAAAACAGTAATTAAAATAATGCGAGTTCAAAATTGTAGTCCAGAAAGAGTCAATTAGTCTGTCACTTTAAGAGTTCTCAATTATTGTACTGCTGTAGTTACTGCTGAAATGCTTGGTCCCATAACCATGTCTTAAGTTTCTTTCCCTGAAAGACAGGATGGAGGGGGCTGCTCTGATTTCACTGGGGAGGAAGTTCCATAGCTGAGGGGCCACCACTGAGAAAGCCTTGTCTTTCATCCCCATCAGTTGCGCTTGCGAGGGCGGTGGGACCAAGAACAGGGCCTCACCCAACAAGCTTAACCTCTGAGGTGGGTCAAAGAGGGAGATATGTTCCAACAGATAGGCTGGCCCAGAACCACTTAGGGCTTTATAACCTAAAGCCAGCAGTTTGAATTGTGCTCAGTAGCAGGCTGGCAGCCAGTGGAGCTGACGTAACAGGGGGGTGGTATGCTCCCTGAATGTTGCTCCAGTAAGCAATTTGGCTACCACCCATTAAGACTATTCAAACTTCCAAACAGTCTTTAAGGGCAACCCCACATAGAGTGCATTACAGTAGTCTATTCAGGATGTAAGAAGAGAGTGGACCACCATGGCCAAGTCAGAATTTCCAAGGTATGGGCGTAACTGGTGCACACCTGGGGTCCCACAGGTTGAGAATCACTGGTATAGAGTATCTTCTGCAGAGTCCAGTGTAAACAGTCAGGGCAGATTCCTGTAAATGCCTTTTACAGCCACTTGGTGGCATTGCTAAAACCTTCCCATGAGTATATAGGGTATCTCCTGTAGAATCCAGCGTAAACACTGCAGGGCGGATTCTTGTAAATGCCTGAAACAGCACTAGGTGGCATTGGGAAACCCTTCCCATGAGTATATAACAGATATAGGCTGTTAGGAATTGTGGGAGCTGAAGTCTAAAACACCTGAAGGGCCAAAGTTTGCCCATGCTTGGCATAGTGGGTATCTTTTGCAGAGTCCAGTGTAAACACTACAGGGTAGATTCCTTTAAATGCCAGAAAGAGCCACCAGGTGGTGTTGGGAAAACCTTCCCATGAGTATAAGGGGTATCACCTGCAGAATCCAGTGTAAACAGTGCAGGGGATATTCTTGTAAATGCCTTAAACAGCCACTAGGTGGTGTTGAGAAAACCTTCCCATGAGTATATACTGTATCTTCTGCAAAGTCCAGTGTAAACACTGTGGGGCAGATTTCCATTTAATGCCAGAAACAGCCACTAGGTGGCATTGGGAAAACCTTCCCATTAGTTTATATTGTATCTTCCACAGAGTCCAATGTAAACGGTCAGGACAGATTCCTGTAAATGCTTGAAACAGCCACTAGGTGGCATTGGGAAAACCTTCCCATTAGTTTATATTGCATATTCTGCAGAGTCTAGTGTAAACGGTCAGGTCACCTAATGTAAACACAAAAGGCCAGATTCCTGTAAATGCCTGAAACAGCCACTAGGTGGCATTGGGAAAACATTCTCATATAAGGTATCTTCAACAGTGTCCAGTGTAAACAGTAAGGGCAGATTCCTGTAAATGCCTTAAAGGGCCACTAGGTGTTGTTGGGAAAACCTTCCCTTGAGTATATAGGGTATCTCCTGCAGAATCCAGTGTAAACGTGGCTGTGGAGTCAGGCCTTCGAGGAATGAGACAACACCATAGGACTCTGGATGGAAGTGGATATAGATCCATCTTAATAGGACGACTGACCACTGTAGTTTTATATTTAGTGTATTTTAAAGTTGATGTGTAATTTGTGATATATGATATTTTAATGAATGTATATGTTTTTTTGGCTGTAAACCGGGCTGAGTCCCTCAACAAGGTTGAGAAGCTCGGTATACAAAACTGTGAAATAATAATAATAATAATAACAATAATAATAACACTGCAGGGGAGATTTCTGTAAATGCCCAAAACAGCTACTAGGTGGCATTGGGAAACCCTTCCCATGAGTATATAGGTTATCTCCTGCAGAATCCAGTGTAAACAGTCAGGGTAGATTCCTGTAAATGCCTTAAACAGCCACTAGGTGGCGTTGGGAAAACCTTCCCGTGAGTAAATAGGGTATCTCCTGCAGAATCCAGTGTAAACACTGCAAGGGAGCTTCCGGTGAATGCCTTAAACAGCCACTAGGTGGTGTTGGGAAAGCCTACCCATGAGTATATACGGTATCTTCCACAGAGTCCGGTGTAAACACTGCAGGGGAGATTCCAGTAAATGCCTCAAACAGCCACTAGGTGGTGTTGGGGAAGCCTACCCACGAGTATATACAATATCTTCCGCAGAGTCCAGTGTAAACACTGCAGGGGAGATTCCGGTAAATGCCTTAAACAGCCACTAGGTGGCGTTAGGAAAACCTACCCATGAGTATATGCGGTATCTTCTGCAGAGTCCAGTGTCAACACTGCAGGGGGGTTTCCTGTACATGCCTCAATCAGCCACTAGGTGGCACTAGGAAAACCTACCCATGAGTATATACGGTATCTCCTGCAGAGTCCAGTGTAAACACTGCAGGGAAGATTCCTTAAACAGCCACTAGGTGGCATTAGGAAAACCTACCCGCGAGTATATATGGTATCTCCTGCAGAGTCCAGTGTCAACACCGCAGGGGAATTTCCTTAAACAGCCACTAGATGGCATTGGGAAAATCTTTCCATAAGTATATAAGGTATCTACAGAAGAGTCCAGTATAAACACTGCAGGGGCGATTTGTTAAACAGCCACTAGGTGGCATTGAGAAAACCAACCCACGAGTATCTCCTGCAGAGTCCAGTGTAAACACTGCAGGGGAGATTCCTTAAACAGCCACTAGGTGGCGTTGGGAAAACCTACCCACCAGTATATATGGTATCTTCTGCAGAGTCCAGTGTAAACACTGCAGGGGAGATTCCTTAAACAGCCACTTGGTGGCATTGGGAAAACCTACCCACGAGTATGTATGGTATCTTCTGCAGAGTCCAGTGTAAACACTGCAGGGGAATTTCCTTAAACAGCCACTAGGTGGCATTAGGAAAACCTACCCACGAGTATATACGGTATCTCCTGCAGAGTCCAGTGTAAACACTGCGAGGGAGTTTCCTGTAAATGCCTGAAACAGCCTCTAGGTGGCGTTGGGAAAAACTAACCAAGAGTATATATGGTATCTCCTGCAGAGTCCAGTGTCAACACTGCAGGGGAGATTCCTTAAACAGCCACTAGGTAGCATTGGGAAAACCTACCCACGAGTTAATAAGGTATCTCCTGCAGAGTCCAGTGTCAACACTGCAGGGGAATTTCCTTAAACAGCCACTAGGTGGCGTTAGGAAAACCTACCCACGAGTATATACGGTATCTCCTGCAGAGTCCAGTGTCAACACTGCAGGGGAGTTTCCTGTACATGCCTCAATCAGCCACTAGGTGGCGTTAGTAAAATCTTCCCATGAGTATATAAGGTATCTACAGAAGAGTGCAGTGAAAACATTGCAGGGGAGTTTCTGGTAAATGCCTTAAACAGCCCCTAGGTGGCGTTGGGAAAACCTACCCACGAGTATATAAGGTATCTCCTGCAGAGTCCAGTGTCAACACTGCAGGGGAGTTTCCTGTAAATGCCTGAATCAGCCACTAGGTGGCGTGGGGACCCCCTCCCCAAGCCGGGCCCTTACCTGTCCCTTGACGAGGCTGGCGGCGAACTGGCGCATGACGGCCTCGACGGTGTAGGCGGAGGACCACCCTCGGGGGGTGAGGAGCTCCATGCAGATGGCGCCGCCGTCCAGGACGTAGCCGTTCTCGAGTCGGGGGCTGAGGACGCGCATGAAGGGCGGCGCGAAGGGGAAGTTGTCCGGGAAGGTGAGGTTGAGCAGGATGTACTCGGTGCCGGTCTCCTTCATGTCCTGCCACAGCACCGAGTCCTTGTCCACCTGGTGCAGCTTGACGTTCCAGTCGAAGAGGCTCTCGTCCACCAGCTCCACCGAGATGAAGCGGTCGCTGAGGCGGGCGATGTCCTGCAGCTCCTTCATCAGGCGGCGGGTCCGGACCTGCGTGCAGTGCGCTTGACGGCTGGCTGGGACCACGGAAGAGGAGGAGGAGGGGGGAGGAGGGGGAGGAAGGGGCCCCGATGGCGGTGGTGGTGGTTGTTGCTGCTGCTGCTGCTCTGGGCCCGCCTCCTTGGTGGTGTCGCCTTGCAGCGGCGGAGGGCCCTTCTTCTCCTTCTTCTTGGCCAGCTCCTTCTTGGGCTTGTGGCGCGCGGGGCTGTTGCCCCGGCTGGTGCTGCAGTGGCTCTCCTTGCTGGGGCTGGCGCAGCCTTGCCGGTGGTTCTTCTGGTTGCTTTTACCTCGCAAGGAAGATCCCTGTTGGCTGCTACTGCCTCGGTGGTGGTGGTGATGCTTGGGATCCTCAGTGTCGCGGTTGTGGAGGCGGATGAGGCCGATCTTGCGGAGCAGCGTCGCCATGGTGAAAGGAGGGAAGAAAGGAAGGAAGGAAGGGAGGGAGGGAAGTGGTCCGCCCACTGCTATCTACCTGTCCCTCCGCCCACGCCTGAGGAAGAGGGGGGGTTTCCTTCCTTCCCTTCTCAGACGCCTCTCTTCAACGTTGCTTCCATTCCAACCATTCCTCAAGATAACCTTGAGCAAGCCCCTCCCCCCCAATGCAACCCTGAGGTCCTTTTGTGGGCTCTCTACACGGCCTCCATCTCCTCCTCCCTTTGTTCCGCAGCAGCCTCGCTTCCACCTCTTTCCCCGGAAGAGTCCGAGGCGGTCCCTGCTCGTGTCGTTCCTCAGGAGAGAGCCCCCCACCTCGGACAGCCTCGCCGGCTCTTCTGCGGCGGATCTGACATTCGCAGGGACGAGGGGGAGGAGCTAGCTCGGGAGGAAGCCCCGCCTCCCGCCCCGCACGCGCAAAAAGGGGGCGGGGACATCCACCAGGGCTCACGTGGCGGCGAACTGCGTCCCTATTGGCTGCTGTGAATATGAGGTGGGTGGTTCGGCTCAGAGATATGGCGCTTGCCTTTCTCTGTCTGTGTCTGGGTATTTCCCCCGCCTCACTCTGACCCGCAGCCCACCTTGAAATGGGAAGAAGAGAGGAATGTGTGCGTTTGGGTCATTTAGAAACAACAACAACAAAAAAAGCGACGCCTTTGTGGGTCTTTCAAGCCAAATTGGATGGTACCTTCTGATACAATTAGAGAATGCACATTTGCGCATGCGCGTTGTGACAGCGCGCGCATGCTGGCTCTCTATGCTCATGGATCATCTGTTTTCCTCCCACACTGATCCCGTTGTCGGACGAGGGAGGGAGGAAGGGGGGCATTTCATCACCTCATAAAGCAATCCACCGGGAAAAGAAGGGAGAGAGATGCCCTTAGAAAGGATGATTTGCATGGCGCTATGGCTGTTATAATAATAATTATTATTTCTATACTAGCTGTACCCGTCACGTGTTGCTGTGGCAAACCTTCCCTCTTTCTTTCCCTCTTTCTCTCCCTCCTCTCCCCTTCCTTCCTTCTTTACCCGTCTTTCTTTCCTTCCCTCCTTCTTTCCCTATTTTTCTCCCTCCTTCCTTCTCTTTCTTTCTTTCCTTCTTTCTCTCCTTCCCTCCTCTCCTTCCTTCCTTCTCTATCTTTCTTTCCTTCTTTCTCTCCTTTCCTCTTTCTTTCCCTCTTTCTCTCCCTCCTTTTCTCCTTCCTTCCTTCTTTCTTTACCCGTCTTTCTTTCCTTCCCTCCTTCTTTCCCTATTTTTCTCCCTCCTTCCTTCTCTTTCTTTCTTTCCTTCTTTCTCTCCTTCCCTCCTCTCCTTCCTTCCTTCTCTATCTTTCTTTCCTTCTTTCTCTCCTTCCCTCTTTCTTTTCTATACTAGCTGTACCCGTCACGTGTTGCTGTGGCAAACCTTCCCTCTTTCTTTCCCTCTTTCTCTCCCTCCTCTCCCCTTCCTTCCTTCTCTACCCGTCTTTCTTTCCTTCCCTCCTTCTTTCCCTATTTTTCTCCCTCCTTCCTTCTCTTTCTTTCTTTCCTTCTTTCTCTCCTTCCCTCCTCTCCTTCCTTCCTTCTCTATCTTTCTTTCCTTCTTTCTCTCCTTTCCTCTTTCTTTCCCTCTTTCTCTTCCTCCTTTACTCCTTCCTTCCTTCTTTACCCGTCTTTCTTTCCTTCCCTCCTTCTTTCCCTATTTTTCTCCCTCCTTCCTTCTCTTTCTTTCTTTCCTTCTTTCTCTCCTTCCCTCCTCTCCTTCCTTCCTTCTCTATCTTTCTTTCCTTCTTTCTCTCCTTCCCTCTTTCTTTCCCTCTTTCTCTCCCTCCTTTTCTCCTTCCTTCCTTCTCTTTCTTTCTTTCCTTCCTTCTCTTCTTCCCTCCTTCCTTCCCTCCTTCCCCCTTTCTGTGTATGTGTTTTGTATGTGTGTATGCATATATGTGTGTGTTTGTGTATATAAATTTGGTTTTGCACATGCGTTGTAATTTTTTTGGTGTTCTTTTTGGCTTTTTAAATCCCTTCTGGTATGTTTTTCAGTGTTTTTATGAATGATGGTCACTCATTGCCCTGATAGGTGTATTGTGTCCAAATTTGGTGTCAATTCGTCCAGTGGTTTTTGAGTTATGTTAATCCCACAAATTAACATTATATTTTTATTTATATAGACTAGCCATCCCCTGCCACGCGTTGCTGTGGAACATGGGGGTTCTGTGTGGGAGGTTTGGCCCAGTTCTATCGTTGGTGGGGTTCAGAATGCTCTGTGAGTGTAGGTGAACTATAAATCCCAGCAAATACCACTCCCAAATGTCAAGATTCTATTTTCCCCAAACTCCACCAGTGTTCACATTTGGGCATATTGAGTATTTGTGTAGAGTTTGGTCCAGACCCATCATTGTTTGAGTCCACATGATCTCTGGATGTAGGTGAATTACAACTCCAAAACCAAAGGTCACTGCCCACCAAACCTTTCCAGTATTTTCTGTTGGTCATGGGAGAACTGTGTGCCAAGTTTGGTTCAATTCCATCGTTGGTGGGGTTTCAGAATGATCTTTGATTGTAGGTGAACTATAAATCCCAGCAACTACAACTCCCAAATGACAAAATCATTTTTTTTTAGTGAAGGACATACATTGGGTTGTTAGGTGTCTTGTGTCCAAATTTGGTGTCAATTCGTCCTGTGGTTTTTGATTTCTGTTAATCCCACAAACAAACATTACATTTTTATTTATATAGATTATTATTATTATTATTATTATTATTATTATTATTATTATTATTTCTATACTAGCTGTACCGGCCATGCGTTGCCGTGGCAAACCTTCCCTCCTTCTTTCCCTCTTTCTCTCCCTCCTCTCCCCTTCCTTCCTTCCTTCCTTCCTTCCTTCCTTCCTTCTCTACCCTTCTTTCTTTCATTCCCTCCTTCTTTCCCTATTTCTCTCCCTCCTCCCCTTCCTTCCTTCTCTACCCTTCTTTCTTTCCTTCTTTCCCTTCTTCCCTCCTTCTTCCCCCTTCTCTCCCTCCTTCCTTACTTCTCTACCTTTCTTTCTCTCCTTCCCTCCTTCTTTCCCTCTTTCTCTCCCTCCTCTCCCCCTCCATCCTTCTCTACCCTTTCTTTCCTTCCCTCCTTCTTTCCCTATTTCTTTCCCTCTTTCTCTCCCTTCTCTCCTTCCTTCCTTCTCCATCTTTCTTTCTTTCCTTCTTTCTCTCCTTCCCTCCTTCTTTCCCTCTTTTTCTCCCTCCTTCCTTCCTTCTCTTTCTTTCTTTCCTTCTTTCTCTTCTTCTTCCCTCCTTTCCCTCCTACCTTCCTTCCCCCTTTCTGTGTATGTGTTTTGTGTGTGTGTATGCATATATGTGTGTATATGTGTGTGTTTGTGTATATAAATTTGGTTTTGCACATGCGTTGTAATTTTTGGTGTTTTTTGTTTTTTAAATCCCTTCTGCTGTGTTTTTCAGTGTTTTTATGAGTGGTGGTCACTCATTGCCCTGATAGGTGTTTTGTGTCCAAATTTGGTGTCAATTCGTCCAGTGGTTTTTGAGTTCTGCTAATCCCACAAACGAACATTAATTTTTTATTTAATATAGATTACTAGCTGTGCCCTGCCATGCGTCGCTGTGGCCTATAGTAAGACTTTTCGAAGTAGAGGTAGCTATCTGGGCTATTATGAAAGAGAGGTACCTACCTATGCCTTCCTATGTTTACAACTGAAAAACAGGTGTGATGGGAACCATAAAAAGTTTCCTGTCTTGTTTCATTACCCATTCCTTGTATCCTATGGAGTTTGGTGCAGAATCATACGATCCCATGGAAAGCAATGGTTTTAGCCTGGATCACTTTCTCTTGTACCCTATGGGGCTTGAGGCAGAACAATAGGATCCCATGGAAAAAAGTGGTCAGTCTCTTTTAATGTAAGGGGCTTTGGGCAGGGCAAGGGATCTCTTGGCTTTTTGATATTATTTCTTCTGATTATAAAGAAAACAGTAATACTGACCTTATGATGAAGGTAAGAGGTATGTATTGCTAGCAGTTAAGTTTCCATGTGTGAATGTGATGGGGAGTCAGAACACAAAACGGTACTGCTGAAGCTATAAGAGGGGCCATTCTCTACTCACCCATGCTTTCCCTTATTAATGTGATTTCTTTTTATTTACTTTTTGTCGTGTCAGGAGTGACTCCTGGTGTGAGATGAGGTGGCCAGACTGTTCCTGGTAACTGAAAGATTGGAACCATAACAGTCATTGTTAGTCCATCAAGTGCTTTGGATTGTTTTTGCTATGAAAGGCTAACACAGCTTATCTTTGGGATATATGTTAAGGAAATATATAGAACCATAGAGTTGGAAGAGACCACATGGGCTGACCAGTCCAACCCCCTGTCAGGCAGGAATAGCACAATCAAAGCATTCCTGATAATTACTATCCAGTTTAAAAGCCTCCAGAGAAGGAGCTTCCACCAAACTCCGAGGCAGGGAGTTCCACTGTTAAACAACTCTTACAATCAGGAAGTTCTTCCTAATGTTTAGGTGGAATCTTCTTTCCTGTAATTTGAACCCATTGTTCCTGGTCCCTGTCTCCAGGGCAGCAGAAAATTAGCCTTCTCCCTCTTCCTTATGACTTCTTTTCAAATATTTTAAAATGGCAATTATATCTCCTCTTAACCTTTTTTTCTCATACCCAGATTTCTCAATCATTCCTCATAGGGCTTGGCTTTCAAACCTTTGATCATTTTGGTCACTCTTCTTTGGACATATCCTAGCTTGTCAATATCCTTCTTGAATCGCAGTGTCTAGATCTGGACTCAGTGTTATTCCAGGTGATGGAATTCTGACCAAAGCAGAATAGGGTGGGACTATGACTTCCCTCAGTCTTCACACTATACTTATATACTTGCAGTTCACACCAAGGAGGTTCCCTAGGCCCCTTCCACCCTGATAAAGGGTTAGCATTTGGGGATCTTCTTCCCACCTAAATGTGGGCACTTTTTAGGAAAACAGTTTAGTAGCAAAAATAACACCCTTTCTATAGGGCTGAAATGGTGGCAAGAGCAAATGACTGGCAGGTCTGCTGGGGCTGAATTAACACCCTTAGAGGCCCTAAGCCAGTTGTTCTCAACCTGGGGTCCCCAGATGTTTTTGGCCTACAACTCCTAGAAATCCCAGCCAGTTTACCAGCTGTTAGGATTTCTGGGAGTTGAAGGCCAAAAACATCTGAGGACCCCAGGTTGAGAACCACTGCCCTAAGCAATTAAATGGATTTGGTGCCCCCAAATATATTTAATTCAAAATATAAACAATAATAAACCATAAAATAAAATTTAATTTTCCAAAATGAAACAAAAAAAACGACAGTAAGATAGAAACAATATTTTGTATATTGTTGGCTTATATTTGAAAAGTTTTCTCTTACTTTTCCAAT